TGGAGATCTGTCTACAGCACTGAGATCATATACAGAACATGTACAAATGGCCCATTATGAACATCAAGGTCAGAATCTAAAGCAGAGTGGATTGTTGGTAAATATTCCACATTTAATAGATAAGGTGAATCCTTTAAAGTAACACAGAAATACTTAAGCTCCCAAACGAAGAATGGGAAATTCAAAACAGGCATAGAAATTGGTTGCTATAAAGCACAACAGGGCTTGGCGCCACACTGCAAATGTCATAAAAAGCAATCTGTAATGAAAGCGTTCTTTCCGGACCCTATGCAGACGACACGATCCAGGGTTGAGTGAGAAAACACGAGGAAGAAAGTCATGCAGGACACGGGGATGAAAACAGGGGGGCGTGTCCATGGTGCGCTGGTGGTCGGGGGAGGCGTGGCCAAGGCGAACAATCCGCGATGGAGCCCAAAGCCGGGTGGTCCATCCAAGACGAACGGGATAAAAACAGGAACCGGGTCGGGACCGGCACGGGAACAGGAACAAATACAGGAACTTAAAACCTTAATGGGGCCAGGTGCTTCCAGGTCCAGGACTCGCCTGGTGTGGGAACCAGAGCAGAGCCCGGAACAGAGTGAGCGCCTGGCTTTTAAGGAGAGCTGAAAGGGGGCTGAAACAGGGAGCAGGCGCGGGCGATGAGTGAAAAACAAGGAAGGGCTGGAGCGCCCTTAAGAGGAGGGGTTTACGAACGTGACACAATTAGAATGCTCTGTATCTGAAAGGGGCCAAAGAACTGGTGGCGCAGTTTCAGCAGACAGGATCTCTGCCCGTCTTCACCAGCTGCCCTCAGCTGTATTCACGTTGATGGATTTTAGGATGTTTGACTCAGAATCATATGCTTATTGCCACACAGAGCCATCACACGGATTTCAGTAGAGCTAGAAGAAAATCCAAAGATAACCAAAGAGGGTGACGGCAACACTACAAATCAGTGCTGTTGATGTTGACTGTTAACTAAGCCACGGCTGTTTCCTGCCTATACTGGACACTGGCTGAAGAGTTTATTACATCCGGATCCAGCAAATTCAAACCTTGTTTTGTGCTGCTATGAAAACAAACTGCTATTCCAGAGCATTTTTACTTGGCCAAACAAGCAGTGCCAAAACTCTGAGCTTTCCAGCACTCTGTCAAGGGCCAGCAAGAGGCAAAAGACCATGTGGGAAGTCAGCAATTCTACAGATTCAACTACATAAACAAGTCCCATCCTTTCTTTTCACGACTCCAATACAATCACTTGAGTCCTAAGATTGCTGCTACTGTATAAAGTGTGAAGCCCTCAATAGCGCTGCTTGCTGGAGAAGTTCTCAGTAACAGCTGCAGTGTTGTCAGGGTCTCAGGAGGCTTTGCAAGGACGTATGTCTCTTTCTAACTGGGCAGAAGCTCCAGGGGACACAAGCATTAAGGTGAGTCTGAAAAGGAGAGCAGATGGTTCTTTCTTTCCATTTTTTGTAAATCAGCAGGATAATATATCAGATTGGAGACAAACAGCAAGGTGGCTCTGTATCCCAGTTTATGATCATACTGCTATGGAAGTCTTGGGCTGAAGTGTAAGCCCATACATCGGACTCTTGTGGGGAGTGTTCGCCCTGCAGGGGCAGGAACGGGAACTCTTCTTGCAAAGAAATCCCAGGAGCAACAAGTCTGAGACAGACCTGAGTTGCTCAGATTTTTTTTGAATGTGCGGAAGAAACGCAAAGTCTTTCACGTTATATTTTGTGTAGTTAGTGCAGTGATTTAGTCTGTGATTTAGATTTTGCTTTTGCTTCAGGTACTAGGAATTGTTCTTTCAGTCCCTCTGATTCATCCTGCATTGTAATCATTCCTGTGCTCTTCCTGTTGGGGTTCATGCATGTTAAATTACTCTCTCAACACATTATTTCTGATTGTTCTACAAGTTCATGCTACCCATCAGTTTATTTCTGCTTACTGGTGGTCTTGCAGGTGCATCCCCTGGGCTTGAAGCAGCTGTGCAGGTGAGCATCTAGGAGACGGTTGTGCTGGGAGGTAGAGACACTCTAGTCCACGTTTCGTGCAGCACTCTTCAGGCCTGATCGTGCTCAGGCTGAAGCAAAGAGCTAATGGCAGGTCTTGATCTTTGTCTGTCTGTATCTTCTGCTGATGCACCTGAGCAGCAACCTGCTTTCCCATTCCTCCCTTTTTCAAGAACAGCTCACCTCCATTGTGCAGCAGTGGAGTCACACCTGGAGTGCAAGTCCCCATCTCTGCCTGGCAACACACTACCGAACAGAAGGCTCATTGTATTCCTGCCTGCTTCAAAAGGCCTGTTAACCTCAAGCCTTCACCCTGCCGTTTGGAGACTAGCTTTCTAGCTCATGCCATATAATGGGATGTAATCCATCCTGAATGTACATTCAGCAATGAAAATTCACCTTCTTTATTTGGCAGGTTTTCCTTCAAGGTCATTTCTGATGTGTTTTATCAGGCAAAGTGTTTTACAGGAACTGTGACATTTGCTTAAACCCTACAGTACGTATGAAAGCAGAGAGACCCGTCTTGTGGAAATTTCATTACAGGGCCGGCATGAGCCCTTTCTTATTAATGACCCTGGCTCTCTATATTGAGTTATATAAAATATTTAGTCCAGCACGCTTCCAGCGAGTTAGACAGGTATTGTGTGGGACAGGGGGTGGGTTATAGAGATATCTCTCTCTTATCTCACTCATGCAGCGGGCTGAGACACAAAGACAAAGGGTTATACGTGGCCACTAATTCATACAGGATACACTGAGAAAAGAAAAGGAACTTCTCAAGAATCTAAGACTTAAATTCATGAAATAATCTCCAGCTTTATTTCAGGTTAATCGTGACCATGCCCTGTTAGCTCCATTATGTGCAGCCAGGGAGATTAACAGAGAAACTTCTCTCTCAGGTTCCCTTCAGACAGCTATAGCCTTCAGTGGCCATGATCAGCCTCTCACGGACTCTCGCCACAGGCAGGTTTCTGCCATCGCCCAGCTGCAAATCTTCTTTCTCAGAGGTGAAGCGCTGTGGGTGTTGAGGCTCCAGGATTTCCAATCACTGTGGTTTTAGTTGCAAGGAAAGGAAGTCAGAGGTGGTTTGGGAAAAGAAGGCAGAGCTGAAGGCAGATGGCAGAGAATCCTGTGGCAGGGTCCTCTTCCAAACTGGAGGAAAATATGGGCTTGGCATCTGAACAATTAATAGAACCAACCAATGTCTCTCCTTGAGGTGTCCGCTGTCTGTGGACACTGTCCCAACGTGTACTGCATACCGAGGAGCTGCACACTCTCAGGCCGGACGTCACCATTACGTACGAGAAGCCAGATTTCCATGTGATGGACAGAACAGAAGGACAAAGTTTACAAGCCAGGAGGCCGCCTGGCCCATGTAGCTCATGAAGAGGCCAGCAGCTCATTGATCCAGAGGACTCAAGCAGCTATTTCTTGAAGGAAACCAGGTTGTCATTTTCAACACCATGGCTTGCTAGCTTGTTCCAGACACCCGCAGGCCATTGTGTAAAGAACCCCATTCACATACTAGCCCTTTCGGCAAAGAACTCCATCCTGATCTCCACCTTAAATGCTCTTCCCTGTGGAAAACAACAGTGAACCCGCTACCAGTCAAGGCACCTGTTTCAGCGGTCCAGCGCGAAGAAGGCCAATGGCTGAGCCTCACTGTCCACAGCTGGGCCAGGGCCATGTCCGCCTGACCTCTTGACCAGCAGAGGCACCTGCTCTCCCTCGCTCTCCCGAAACTCAGAAACCAGAGATGCAATCAATCCCTCTGCCTACAAGAGCACTTAAACCATCACAGAGCACACAAAAACACAAAAAGCCATTTAACCCTGACACCCTTCTCCAACACTGCAAGTCATGCACTCTGAGCCTATAATGCGATTCATTTCTGACAACCTATAATTTATCAGCCAATTACTAACACAAGCCATTCTGCGAAAGACAGGCTTCTGACAGTGCTCCACAAGTAGAAGCAGATGTCATGTCCAAATGGCTCTTTTTCCAAAAGAGATGTTTTTAGGGGACAAGCACTGAGTACAAAAATGCGTGACTGTCCCTGGCTTATAAAAGACCAATAAGAGCAAGGTCAGTCACACCAACAAGGTAATCCACTGCAGCAAAGCACAAACACGAGCCTCTCTCCTAGAACAGAGTAAGTTCCAAATTACAGGTTATCGGCTCACAATCTTTTAAATACAGAAGATATTAGAAGCACAATTCTTTGTTTATGAGAAGGATACCGTTTTGGAACAGTTTTATCTGTGGGTAAATGGACTATTTCATTTACTAAGAGGGGTGCAATTTGCCAAGAGAGAATCAGGCCCTCAAGTGACTGGAAGCTCGTGTTCATGTCTGCTGTAAGCAAATACTGAAGCCCAGTACTTCAGCTGCTAACTCTGTCCTTAATAGTTGATAAGTACAACAAGGGCCCCTTTTACCAACAAAGCACTGAAAACCACCAGGCACTGAGCCTTCTGTTCTCAGAACTGCAAAACCCCTTCAAGTTCAAATTCAGACTTAATCACAACATACTGTATAAGCCACCACTGCAGAAGAAAATCAAATCAGGCTTATTTTTTAACATTAGGAGGAAAAGCATTAAACTCAAATTCCGACTTCTAAAGAGTCTTAATGTCATCTGCTTGAATTCTGCAAGCAGGCAAAATGACAGATGAAGGGAGACAGAGGGGAAGTTTGAGCTGCACTGCAATGCAACAGGACGTGTGCAATGTGAAGTAGTCACATGCACAGCACGCGTACTGTAGCAGGCACAGGGTTTACACTGAACAGACAAGTGCACCTGGTAGCACAGGGAGGTGGAGCAAGTATTATCCATACAGCTTGTAGTCCCAAACCATTGTGGGTACCCCCTCTAACAACACCCCCTACGTACAGAGACCCCTTCCAAAGACCTATCTTCCGAATCAGCGGTTCCCTGAACTACGGATCTGTCCCTGTCTCCTCCCTGCGGAAAGACTGTACCTGTGGGGACGGCTGCATCCATCGTGGGTCTCTCCCATGTGTTCACTTGCTCCCATGCAAAGCCATTTGTCCCCAGTGCCACGCTGTAGCCACAGCTGCTGTAGTGCTCTTCAAACGAGCAGCTGCCTGCAAGGGAAGAGGGAAGAGGGTCGCATATGTCAGCACCATCAGGCCACACATCCCCATCATGATTTCATCTCTGCTAAATCATGATTTTCCACCACATTAGGATTTATGTTCGCCAGGGGCGAAAGATTAGAAAAACAGAAAGAAAAAGTCATCTTTTAAACGTATTACTTGCACTGCAATGACTTAATTGCAAAGAAGCATCTATATCTATTGGGCAAAATTCTTTGACAGGGGCTCAGTCATCAGTTTGCGGGGAGAGCACATGACATGAACTATAGTCAGCGTGTATAAAGCCTTGTGTTCCATTACGATACCACTTACCTCTAAGCCCCTGCTGCACAGGGTCTATTTTTAAAACAATCTCACAGGTTCTGTTCTGCTTGCGAGGCACAGAACATATCCTACATGCTCAAGGTTATGTTTCCTTTCTACATTTATTCACGGCAAAAAAAAAAAAAACTCATTCTCACTGTTTTCCTAGGTTTTGCATGAGCATTTTCACAGGATATATAGGAGATTTGCCTCCACGCTAATTAAAACTGTTAAGTTTGTAACTCAAGGACAAACTGTGTTAGCTGAGCTAAAAACCTGGCTCTGGTGTTTGAAATACAAGTTTCAAACTCTGGGCTGCCTTGCTAGGTACAACAGCAAGAGCCGTGGCTCAGAGGAGGCTGTCAGCTGGTGTAAAGGCAATGTCGAGGGCTTCTCGCTATCAGATCAGATTTCCTTTAAAAGGGCAAACCCCCCCCCGCCAGCACACTTCCCCATGGGTGAGATAATTCAAACCTAGAGCATCCAATAACTTTTCAATCACAGAATTAATCTAGCGGGGAGACAGGTCATTAAAACTGCATCTTTATAATTCCTGCTCCAGCAAAGCCCCCAGAGACTCCAGCCAGTGATAATTACACAATCCTCCTCAGGACTGTCTGATCTTTAAGCTCACAGTGCCTCACAAACAAAACACAACAAAAAGTCCGCAGGTCTTTGATGCCGACTCTGCGGAGACGTTCGCCTCCTCCGTGAAAGATGTGTTCAACTATTAATGCTGAGAGTCCCACGTAACCAAAAGAAAGGAGAAAAGCCCTTCATCTTTGCTTATTAACACTAGCTACAAATTTGATTCATTATTGATAAGATGCCTGCAGAAGATAAGCAATAAGTTTCATTAGGAAAAATGCTGAAAAAAGACTCAGACAGGGGATCCTGCAGGCAGGTCAATTTCTTCGAGAGCAGCTGAAAGCTAGCTCAGTAGTAAAATTAAAAAGAGACTGACATAACCAACAGAAATCTTAGTAAACTATCTTCTCCAGACACACTCAGAACTTCCACCATCTGATTTCCTCAGCTACTGTAAGTCTTGTACAACCAGTTCTGCAAATTGGATGGTGTGATTCATCAGGACAGATGTGCGAAATGTCTAAGTTAAATTGTACAGCTGTGTTTTAAGAGACAGGACTTTGACTAATGACTCCCTGCAGAGAACATGAAAATAATTTGGGGGCTCTGTAGTGATACCTCTTGTATCTAATAAAGTGCTGACGCTCATACTTTTCTACTGACTTCTTGTTTGTGACTCACAAACCAAGACACTAAACCCTAGGCAGTGCCGTGCCCCTACAGCTGGGTGGGAACCTGTGCTAACTCAGGCTGACAGACTGCTCTCTCTGGGGGATCCAGCCTGCTAATCAGACTACAGGAAAGCGCGATCTGCAGCTAAATAGTTAAAGCAACTCTTTGCGGTTCATTTATAATCTTGGTTAAGTTACATTAAATTTACTGTCATGCTTCAAAATTTAATTAATGCAATTACTACCATATGTCTGTCTTTTTTCTTCCTTGCGACATTTGTGAGCAAGCAAGCTAAACCTATCATGTCCACATCAGCAGGCAGAAATAATAGCAGAAACGATTTTCATTATAACATTAAGTTTTTTTTTCCTCCTTTAAAGCGCTTCTCCGTTTCTTCCATGATTAAGTGTCACATTCCCACAAAAGGAAATCCCAGACATGATGCCATGGTGAAAACGCTCCCGACCACTTCCTCTCCCGATTGAAAAGCCACGGGGGATCAGGACTGGGGGACACGATGGCCTCCGGCTGTGCGGCGCCCAAACCGCTCCCAAGAGGGAAGAAGCAGAACCGCAGGACAAGTCCGATCCGTCTGGACAAGGCTGAGAGCACGATGGAGCAGGGGTGGCGGACCCGACCTCCACACCTCAGGTCAAACCCGACCTGGTTAGTCTCTGAATGAAGCTGCGGAACCTTGAAACGGACGGGCCTCAGTACTCTTCCCCTCTCACTCCGCACGCCTCCTCCAGCTTAGCAGCTCCCACTGCCCCTGCTACATTCGACACTGTCCTCCGCAATCACACCCTTTAACCCTGCCAGAAGCCACGAGGACGGCCGCCTCCCGCCCAGCTACCACAGAGGAGGGATTCTGCCGAACGAGTTTGTCTTTTTCCTTCTCTGCGTCCCCCGCGGGGAGCTCTCAGAGACGGGGCGGCCTGGCGAAGGTGCCACGCGCGCTCCGGCGGCCCACAGCGCGGTGCTGGGCCCTGGCAGAGCCGCGGCGCCGGGCGGGATGGTTTGCGGCAGAACCCGTTTTCGTCTTTCCCATCTATCAGCCCGACTGGCTCTGCTATCAGGGATCCTAATCCCGACGGCGTTCTTTACTGGAGGTGCGCAGGCTGCACATAATAATACAGCTCGAGAGAGCAGCGGCAGAGTGTCACACATGAACCGCAGAGCATTAGACTTTGTTGTTTGTCGGAATTTGTTGAAAATAGATCACAGGTATAGATCAAAGGTTTGCAATCACCTTTGTGATCCTGAGCATGAGGCCATTGCAACTGTATGACACTATTTTCCAGAGGATACAGGCAGTGTGCCCTTCACAGTTTAACTGCACTGGGCTACAGCCTATTGCACAGCAGAGCAGCGGAGCTCGATGCAATTGACACAGACTGGACAGCTCACCAGGACACGCTGGTCAGGCGTCCACTAATAATAGAACAGGCTACACAATGTCACAGGTCTCCTGCTCCACAGTTAGGAAAGTTTCAAGACACAAATGGCAGAGAGGTTGTCATTTTGCACCCAATGCATGGTGCCTGACAGGGTGCTCAGATGTGCTACTTCCTGACTGAGTGGTTCTCCACACACAGAGCAGGGCATCCCCATAACCTCCCCACCTCTCCACTGCCTCGGCACCGCAGCACAGCGTACACACACATCACCACAGCATCAGGGACTCTGATTAGACTACGGACCTCATTTCCCTAAACTGAGTAAGCAGATTGAGGGCTGTGCGAATTTCCCCACCATTACAGCATTCATAAGAATCGTCTTACTTTGCTTTAGCATAAATTGATATGCTCAGTGGCTCTGTTATATTGTGTTGTTTAAGCACATCAACAAGAAGAAAATCGCCTGTGTGATCCTACAACTTCAAGTGTGAGGATTTCTTGACTTTAATAAAAGGCAATTACTGGGATTTGTTGGCACCAAATAATGGTTTGGAAGAATAGACATTAAGAATTAATTCTTTTCAAACTAAAGACTTTTAAAGCTGATTTATGATGGCTCCGCAGACTGCTCCTTGAGGAAAACCAGAGGAGGTTTCAAACCCTGCGCCAGGCACATGTCATCGTGAGCTCCGCGGGTCTCAATGGTGGGCTGGAGTGTGCAGTGATTTCTCCAGACCCCAGCGCTGGAAAGGCAGGATACCCTCCCATTGGGGCTGGAGAGGCAGGGACATTTTTTGGATTCTGGTTGGTTCATGTAGGATAGTGTGTACGATTCAGGCTAGACAGGCAGGGGTCGGAGGTTCTGGAATGTTTGCTTGCAAATACGTCACTTTACAGTGAAGAAGGTATTTTCCCCCACTGAGAAGCAGACTGTAAGACATACAGGTGGACACAAGGAAAGAGCTACAGAGAGTGTGCCTTCCTCCAGCCTAATTGCCTCAATTCACTGATTTCTTAAGTGGGTTTGTTCCCAACTGAGGCTCTTCTGGGCTCCCTATTTCCCTCCTTCCTTGGAGGTCCTCTGGTGCTCGAAGATCAGATGTGTGGGCAGTTATAAGGACACCTGGCACAGCCAAGGACCAGACCAGCCTGCCAAAACCATAGAGCTCAGCTCTCTAATAAACGCAGGCGGCTCTGTTCCAGCCAAGCCCGTTGAGTGATATCGAACATCTGCATGAAATCACTCCTTATCAAGAGCTTTGTGGGCTCAGATTCCCGCTAGAAGAGGATGGCCTGTGCTTTCCCCACCCTGAGAGGCTGATTGCTGTGGTGAAGCACAGGCAGCAATAGATGGCACATCTTGCCGCAGTTTGGATGGGTTATCACTGCAGCCAGCGCTCAGAGAGGATTATTAAAGCAGATGATCTCAGAACTGGGGTTTTGCCTCAGGCGCAGTTTTGACTACAGCAACTGATGATGTGTAACAGAAAAACATGGAAGTCTATAAACTTTTTAAATTACCCCTGTTATGAACATATCCTACAAAGCGTTTTTTTTAAATAGCAGAGAATGCAGTTTTTTCCTCCGCCAAAAGAAACCACCACTTCTGCATAAATCACTGTATAATGCAATTTCGCTGCAAAAATCCTATGATAAGTGCATTAACCCCAACGTCAACGTGCCCATTGCTGAAGCAAAAAGTTTTTAGAAGTTTTCCGACTGAGAGGAATGGCTTCCTTTAACTGAGTCTCACATCTGAACTTGAAGAAACAACACAGGAGACGAAGCAATGAATCAAAAATCACAGAGAGGGACCTGAGGCATCGATTCCATCACCAGAGGTGCCTATCTGTCACTCCGCCAGCCAGCGGAGCGGATCCTCGCGAGCCCGGCCTCGCAATTAGCCAGCTCCGCTCGTCGGGAACCCGCTATCAATCTCTGTCGCCGCGCATTCGGTCTCCTGCTTAAAAATAGCTCTGTTATCCCCTTCCCCGCTCGGCTTGAGGACTACGAGCCCTGGCAGCGAGG